AAGGTGTTGAAGTAGTAAGGTATTGAAGTAGTAAGGTATTGAAGTAGTAAGGTATTGAAGTAGTAAAATATTGAAGTACTGAAGTATTGAAATAGTGAAGTATTGAAGTAGTAAGGTATTGAAGTAGTAAAATATTGAAGTAGTGAAGTATTGAAATAGTGAAGTATTGAAGTAGTGAAGTATTGAAGTAGTAAAGTATTGAAGTAGTAAGGTATTGAAGTAGTGATGTATTGAAGTAGTACAGTATTGAAGTAGTAAAGTATTGAAGTAGTAAAGTATTGAAGTAGTAAAGTATTGAAGTAGTAAAGTATTGAAATAGTAAGGTATTGAAGTAGTGAAATATTGAAGTAGTGAAGTATTGAAGTAGTAAAGTAATGCAACAGCAAAGTAGTAAAATAATAAAGCAATAAAACAGCAAAATATCAAAATAATAAAATACTGAAACAGTCTAAGAGTAAAATAAACCAACAAAAGCCTGTAAGAACATCCCCAATCCAAGGAACATGTAAACCCCTGTTTACCGAAATGAGCGCATAATTCATTTCCGAACTTAACCTAAGTTTAGTTCACGCCATAAGAAACAATTCCAGTAATAATCGTCTAAATTAACCCGCAGCAAAAAGTGGCGCAAAGTTATCATATGTTTCGCAGACTCTCGCATGCATACGGAACCATATTCATTCTGTGTTTGGCGTGTGGCTAATTTGCTGGATGCAAGGTCGTTTGTTACGTAGCTACACGTTTCGAGAAAAACCTAATTACCACTCTCTACATTTTCTCATATTTTCTTCCCGCTTCATCTACAAACACGATTTAACACGTTGTTGCGGTGACAATACACCGCTTAATTTATCAAGACAGTTCACACCGCATCTCGTTCGATAATAATCACGTGACTAAACACGCACAGGAAGATTCACGGTCCGCTAATCGCAACGACCAATTAAATTAACGTCATTAAAATGTGTCCACCCATGAAAATCCGTAGAACGCGGTCGAATTTCACGTTATAGTCGATTTCACCCTATTAATCTAGTTCCAATCGATTTCACGGCCATGTTAATACACGGAACGTTTTGACGCCATTAGCCTCGCATACTCCTTTTATCATAAAAGATAGAAAATTTCGATCACGATTGAACGATGCAAGATTTGATTTAAATAAACGCAAAATAAATTTCACCGACAAATCTGTACAAAGAGGAAATTTCTATAAAATCCGGTTCAACCGATCCCCTGTGTGAAAGTACCATACGAAAACAATAACGGATGGCACGCTTTCTGTATTATGCGTATCACGTATGCATCCAATGTTATTTTACCGAGAACATTTTCGCGCATTTTTCATCGCCGACGTATCCAATCGGATAGGACAACAACGATGACATAAAAATGCAATTTTCAGTCGGCTCCTATCGGGAAAGGACTTTTGCTCTTTTCCAACCACGATTCCTGTGCTTCGAAGTTCTCAGATTTTATACTCCTGTTTTATCAAATCGACGAAATTTTTGAGCTTCTCTTGTTTGATGCACTATGTTGTTTTATGTATTATAGCGATGACAAGAACATTAAATCCCAAAATCCTGAAATCTCAAAAAATTCCAATTCATCAAAGTTTCTTACTTTCTTATTTTCTTCTTGGAGTTGTTTGTACAATGGGTCCCTCTTTTTGTTGCATTTCAGTCAGTGCCTGACGTAATTAACAGGGTGTAAATTACGCGTTTGAACGACGAACCAATTTGTTAATTCTGTAATAGGTAGACTCTGGAATACGTCCGACGAATGGGTTTCACTCGCTGATATGTAACCGCATGAAATAGCGGCTCGTTTATCCGCACACGCGTACCAACTGCAATTTACATCCCATTCGCCTGGTAATTTCATTGTCGTGACGTTTTAATGAGATATTCGAGTGATATGCTTTATACTGTGCTTCTTTCGTGAGCAAGGCAGTGTTACAGGATTATGGATTAAGATCCCCTGATAAAACGAGTTAAAATTCAATTTCTTATTTCTGCTTTTTATCTTCCCCATAATATAACAATATTTCACATCACTTTACACGAAATGTTTTTGTATTTTTACAAAATGTTACATTGTTACAAGTTAAATTTATAGTTGTTCAAACCTTGACTAGATTTTGTTACATGAAAGAAACATAAAATATTTATGGCTCGTCAATTTTGAGGTTAAGTTTAAAATGGCTGGTTGGTTGCACAAAATGCCTGAAATGGCTTTGGTTTTATCAAAGAATCCGAATACGTTATTAGGAGTTTTAATAAACAATTATTTCTCCTCTTTCCAATTTGTAACACAAAGATAAATTATGCAATTTTAACGATTACAAAAGATATGCTTATCAGTAAAAATATTAAATTCAATCGTTTTATAAGTTCGAAAGTATACGTAAAATTATACCGCACCCTGAATTTATAGGTCATAGGCAATTTATAGGGACAGTGTATCGCGATGTTGTTCGCTAACGAACTTTGCATTTCATGCTTCGAACAATTTCCAATTCCACGTAATTTGATCGATCGATGTAATCGATTATTTAAAAACAAAATTGCATTACGGTGTTCCATGTCCGGACAAATTTTTTAGAACGATTAGGTGCCACAGTATTGTCGGGTAAATACATTGTTTCAAAGTCCATGCACGATCCAATTGTCCATTTTCAGCTTCACGTGAACGATAGTGCACTTTTTCACATATAGGGCGTTCCATTCTTTTATCTACCTATACGACTTTTAAAAAGTATTTCAGACAAGGGTGATAATATATCAGTTATGATACGGTTATTAAATTTTTATTGACAATAAAATTTTTTGTAGGTTCAAGATCAGAATACAATATTTTAAAATGGCTAATTAATTACACAATTTTGAAGTTGCAAATTAATTTGAAAAGTGAGAAATTGAAAATTAATTTCAGTAGAGGAAAATTGCAAATTAATTTCAATAGAGGAAAATTGCAAATTAATTTCAATAGAGGAAAATTGCAAATTAATTTCAATAGAGGACTAATTGCAAATTAATTTCAACAGAGGAAAATTGCAAATTAATTTCAATAGAGGAAAATTGCAAATTAATTACAAAATTTCAATATAGCAAATTAATTACAAAAATTCAGTCTCAAAATTCTACAGTTTGACTTCCTACGTTTAAAGGTAAAATATTTTTAATTTTCAGAGGTGTAAGGTTTTAAAGTTCTAAAACCTTAGCTACCCAAAATTCATATGTCTCAAAAATCGCTATATTCCAACATTTCTATATCTTAAAATTTAAGAACCCCAAATTTCTATGCTCCAAAATTCCTATGCCCCAAAACCTTAATATCCAAAAATTATTAAGTCTAAAAATTGCAACATCACAAAATACCTATGACCCAAAATTTCGAAGCCCTAAAAATTCTATATTCCCAAATCCCGATGACTGAAAATTCCAAAATCCCCAAATTTGCATGTCTCCAAACTTCAATATCTTAAAATTTCTATGTTCCAAAATCTCTATGTCGAAAAATCGCTATATCCCCAAATTCCTGTTTCCAAATTTAAATACCCCAAAATCCCTACGTCCCAAAAATTTCTATGTGACAAAATTCCTATGTCCCAAAATCTCTATGTCCAAAAATTGCTTTATATCTCAAAAATCCAATATCCTAAAATTTCTATGCCTTAGAATCTCTATATCCAAAAATCGCTATATCCCAAAATTCCCACATCCCAAAATTTCAAAATCTGAAAATTGCAACGTCATAAACTACGTATGCCCCAAAGTTAAGCCCTAAAATTTCTACACCCCAAAATCCCTATATCTCAAAATTCCAATATCCCAAAATTTCTATGTCCAAAAGTCCATCTCAAAATCAGGTTAAACTCATGGTACCTAAACGGACAATTACAAATAATGCATAACATGTGCACATCTATTTATTGATAAATTAAATTGAAACACCCTTTATATCTTTATTTCCGCCCAGTTGCAACGCATTCCCATTTGCACATCTGCCACGAATGATTCGCGACTCTTCTCGCTAATGACTACGAACAAATCCAATAATGATCGTGTAACGTGACTCGTCCGACAGTCAATGGCTATTAAAATGATAGATCTGCTTCCCTCTCCGTACGCGTTTCGCGATAAAACGTCGATATGGTGGAAATATAACGAACATTGTACAAACGGCAAAACTTCCATGCAAAAATGAACTGAAATATTGCGCTTGCCCTATCTACAGTTTTATCATTCCCTGTGTGTTAAATTGGTTTATTCTGCGCGATAAAAAACTCTGTTGAAATTGTTACCCCGAATCGTGTAACGGATTTTAATTAATAGTACATGAAAGTATCCCTTTTTTCAGTTATACAATGTATACATCCTTTTTTTTCATTAAACTTTTTCTGCCTTTGATCATGAATTTTAACAATTCTACAGTTTCGCTATTTTTGTATGTATCTTTTAAGCCGGTCTGAATTATTGTTGCGAATGTATTATATTTTCGTGGCAGGACATTTGTATTCGATTGTTTCTTTTTATCGTGTTTTTATTCGATGACAGTCGTTGATGCTATTAAATAAAAGTTAACACTGGATTATGTTATCTAAAATTTAAAAATAAAAAAAGTTAACACTGGATTATGTTATCTCCACTAAAATTTAAAAATAAAAAAAGTTAACACTGGATTATGTTATCGCCACTAAAATTTAAGAATGATTGAAAACAAATGAAAAAAGCAATTTAGTTTTAAAAACGTTGAGTGGTCTGAACGAGTCACTGAACTCTCGTTGATTAAATTCTGCAACGATCGTGGTGAATGGTCTTGTACAACCTCGGCCACGTTATCAATTAACGCGAAATCTTCGTGTACTCGTCGTTTCACGGTGTAGTGGCTTTCAAGAATTCATTGAAAAGGTGTCAAGAGAAGTTTCATTTGACACGGACGGTCGCGTGAATTTCTAACGTTGAATCGTAAAGCTGTCCCTGCAAAATGTGACTCACCTTTATACCGTAATTGCTTTCCTCGTATATGATGGACACGTAGCTCCATCCCATTTTTAGCACGATGTCTATCATTGCTTTAACCTGGTAATGATCGCTCGGTATTGTGCGAGTGAAATATTCGAAACGTTGCTTGTTGGAAAGCTCCGGGCTCGTTGAGAAGAAAGAGACCTGCAATCAGAGCGGAACGGGATTTTCGTTTGCGTCCTTTCGTCTATCTAAATTATTATATTGAATAAATTATGGAATACATGCAGATGAAATTATAATTTAGAATTACAGTATTAACTGCATCGATGTAATTTACTACAAATTCGTGAAAATGAATGAGAAAGCTTTTGAACATAATAATTATTGATGTACAAATTAATATGGTCTATCATTGCCTAACTGTATCAATGCCTAACTGTATCATTGCCTAACTGTATCAACAGTATTAACCATCGAGTAAAAATATCAATCACATAAATGAGTAAAATTCATCAAGAGAATCACATAACCTCAAAATCTTAGCGCACAAAACTTTCGTACTCCGCGGTTAAACTCACGAGCACGTACAGGGAAACTGTATTAAAACGTGTAATCAGATCTTTCCTGTGCCAGGATGATTACAATAGTTGCGTAAAGTTGCAAAATAATTTTGAAACTTGCAGCATCCATGTTCGCGATTTTCGCGACGGTGTCATTACGAGCGGGATAATGTCGACGAAATTTAATCCTCAAGTAAAACAACACGTCATAACTCGGTAAAATTATCGAACTGCAGCCTGTTTGCTATGCAGCAATTTTCGTGAAGGGATTTTCCGGTGGGCGAATTTCCAGACACTAATAAGGATCATCAATCAGTGCCTCGAAACAACGTCGCAAGATTTCGGCTGTGTTGAAGTTATTGTCGATGACGTTTGTTGATACCACTATCAACGTGATAACTTCGTTAGGAAGTTTGTGAAGTACCTCGTAAAATGGTTCGTAACACAATGAAAAAGTTTTAAGCTCAGCAGCTTTACTCAGTGTCACATATGGTGACATCGTAAGAACTTTGCAGCACGTATTACATGTGACATCGGAAAGGGGTATTATAATCTTGAAATGTGTCTAAACACACACGGTATATTACCAGCGTACTGGAAACTTGATATTCGAGTCGTAGAAAGTAATATTCCTTAAGTGGTAGTAGAGTTAATTTGTAATCCTAACATGTGACACACGTGGTCTACATGTGGTCTACATGTGTGTAGAATAATAATATAGTGCATAATACATATAGTATATAGTGTATAGTACAAATATTTAAACAGAATGAGAGATTTTTAGATAGACATTTCTTGGATTTAATCAATTTTCCCTGATCTTATCTATAAATCTATCCTGGTAGTTTCCGTAGGATGACGGTTTATCTCGGTTGAGTAGCTTCTGATGGTCGCCCGACATTTTTCGCGATCAGTAACGAAGAAACTCGCTCGAGCGAGGTTCCGATTGATCTTCGTGGAAGACGAAGGATTTCGGTTCGATAGTGTATATTGGTGATCGGTCGACGAGCGTGCTCGTGGAAGATGAGTTTATGTAGCGAGAAACGAGTCCGCGTTATCTCGTGCTGCGGTAACAGCAGCTTCGGATTCTCTACGGCACACTGCACGTTATTTTATCTATGCCTCGCGTTTTACCATCTGGTAAATTCGTGTAGGATGACGCGGACATATTTATCAACTTTCCTCAGACCTGATGTTCCTTTGAGACGTGTCAATTTTTTCAATCGAAGCTTTTCAATTTCAGCATCCTTGTTACAATATATTGTAATATTCATGCGCAGACATTTCTTCAAATATTTTTTACTGTGAAGACTCGGACAAGGTTCTACTTTGACAGAAAATTTTTATTGGGCGAATTGTAATAATTAATTCTATACTTGCCGTTGCTGGTGTAAAATCAGTAGAGGAGGATCGTAGTTAAACATGTTTAGAGATGGATAATTAATATACGCTATGTCTCACACCTCTATATTCCTAAATCTAGATATCATTAATTCTCTACATACTGAATACTCTGTATCATCAAATCTCTACATACTCAGATCCCTACACGCGTCGTATCTCCACACGTGGTATTACTCACGCGTCGTATCTCCACGCGTGGTACTACTCACGCGTCGTATCTCCACGCGTGGTATTACTCACGCGTCGTATCTCCACGCGTGGTATTACTAACGCGACGTATCTCCACGCGTGATATTATTAACGCGTCGTATCTCCACGCGTGGTATTACTCACGCGTCGTATCTCCACGCGTGGTACTACTCACGCGTCGCATCTCCACGCGTGGTATTAATAACGCGTCGTATCTCCACACGTGGTATTACTCACGCGTTGCATTACTCACGCGTCGTATCTCCACGCGTGGTATTACTCACGCGTCGCATCTCCACGCGTGGTATTACTCACGCGTCGTATCTCCACGCGTGGTATTACTAACGCGTTGTATTACTCACGCGTCGCATCTCCACGCGTGGTATTACTCACGCGTCGTATCTCCATGCATTGTACTTCCATACACTTTCACACATGTTTAGAGATGTATAATTAATATACGCATAGACTATTTTTATGGGAAAAATGTTAAAATAATTTTTGGCACTGAAAGAGCTATGCATTATGATCATAAAGAATATCGAATCGTGTCACACCACTAGAAAGCATTAAATACTGCAGCGATTCAATGTATCATGGCGGCACATACGACCTACTGCGGTGAATGGATATTTCATGAAGTACTGAACTTCGGATCCAGGTATTACCATATTTCTTCTATCTGTACGTGGAATACTTTAAAATGCAAACAGTTTCGAAAGTTTCCCCTTTCGATCGATCATAAAACTTAATCGAACGACTCCGGCACTTTATTTTCGTTCCGCGATGCTTCAATCGTATCTCGTTAATTAAACGGGATGATAAAAGGGGAACCAAGAAACGTTACTTTGAAACTTGTCTTATCGCTCGGGGAGGGTTCCTTAGGTCAGGATGTTTGCATTTTTACCGGTAGCCTCATCTGGCGAAATTGCAAATCCCTTTGTGAATCGGTTAAACGACGTTATCGTTAATTGAAACGGACCGGCTGCGCCCAAACCGCGCGAAATTGCAGGCCCGCACAGAGCCCGATAAAAGCGAAATAAACGAACGCAGACGATCGAATCCTCATATCTCGAAATAAAAGCAGTCGGTGGTTTCTCGGGAATTCCAGCGAGATACGATTCTCAAAAACGTAACTCTAGCACGTTGAGTGCTGTACCGTCTCTTGTGACCGGCGCTGGGAATTCGATATAATCGAATTACCGAGAGACGGGAAAAATTAAAGAAAAATTTTTAGTACAGATATTATGAAAGCTATCGTTTGTCTGCTTTGACGAATTTGGGTCAGCTTTCAATTAGTCTCTCAATTAAAATAAATTAAAAATTTACTTCAAATAGGAATGCAAATTAAAAATTTTAAATCGCAAAATTTCGTGTGCGGCATAAACGGTGATAATATAATGAGACACTGTAACTGCAGGTTTATTACTGTTCTTCATATTCACTGTGATAAAAGTAACAAAAATTTAGAGCGAATGGAATAGAAAAATAACGCAATCGGTCGGCCACAAATTCAATTTAAATATATAATTAAAAGTAAATAGAGAGAATAGTCGAATAAATTAAAACGGTAGTTAACAAGGATGATAGAGAAACAATACTTTTAATTAAAATTTTATTTGCGTTCACTTTTTCGGATAGTAAATATAAATAACTTGTGTAAAATTAATTTAGCATCGCTGTTGGTTTCACCGGGAATTTCCCTCGAACAAATTTTACGTAATTAATTTAAATATATAATAATCTCGTTCGATTTTATATTAAGAATTGATTTTTTTCACATTAACCGGGAAATTCGATATCTCCCTCCACAGGAAACGTTTTATATCACGATGGTCTTTATTAAATTTTTTCCTTCAATGAGACTGGCGTTTATTTACTCGTAAATTTCGCGCTGCTGTAATATTATGGTGCTGTTCTTCTCCGGTTTTCGTTGCTTCAATCTTTTTCATCATGATGTAGTATTGCGAGAAGGATAGAATTAAATACGAGTGGCAGTAAAAATTTACGGCCGAAATTGAAATTCAAATCCTCCCCAGTTTATATTTATGCTGCCGATCTGTATAAGATATCTCGTGACAGATCAATGACTCTTTTTTACAACCCTCGTTTTCACATCAACGGAGTTGACATTCATAAATTTTTTTTCGCTTGCTCCGAATTTGATACTTATTCAATTTTACATCTATTTTACAATTTGTTACATAATATTTTTTTATACTACAAGCTAAAGGTGTCAATTTTTCCCATTTTTTTACTTGCAGGTACTTCTATATTATATTATAACAGTCACATAGTTTTCTTTCATTTCATTTTCTCTGAGTTTGCCACAGAGTTGAATTAAAACAGAAATTCACTTTGAAAGATTGTTTGATTCATGATGATTTGATACATGAGAATCGTCAAATATTAAAACTTCGAACCGAAGGTTGACATTAATCAACTTTATACAGAATTGTAGAATACAATTGAAAAATGTATTCAATAAGTTTTCTCAGTAATAAGAATTTTTAATAGGTCGAAGTGGATGAAGTAACGTTATGTCGATAATACAAATGGTCGCGAAATGTTCTTACTGGAATTTCCAGCCTGATGAGACAAATCAGTGCACAGGTTGGATGTCATTCGAATCTGTTCCCTGCGAGTAATCGGTCGATCGGTCGGTTTCCAGCCGAACTTTTGACTGACGTGACTTATTACCATGTCTTTCGCAGGTGTTCCCTTTCTGCAGTCTCGGGATACGTGTCAGCGATGTACCAATAATTTATCGATATCTGCCTCCAGGCCAAATTGTCACGCTGTCGTAGTGACGAGACGAACTACCTTGAAGTGATAAAAATAATCCAATTTACCATCTGCTTATTCCATACACGGTGCATCAAACAATTTATATCTGATAGAACTCGAAGACATTTTTAACATAATTATTTAAGTTTAGTTATTTTTTATGTTTGTTATTATTATTTATGTCACGTAAATAGTATTACAGATTTAGTTAAAAAATATTAAAAATTTTTTTAATAAAAAGACGAATGTGTCATTCGAGTG